ATGTATTTAGTGGCGTCGGTGTTATTCGTTTTCAGAAACAAACTAAAAAAATCCAGAAACATACTTCAGCTTCCCACTCGTCACATTAAAAAGTAGTTATATCATACGATTAAAAGACCACAGCCAACTTTGCCCCTTCCCCTTTCTCTTCGCGTCTACTCCCCCCTCCCCCAAAGAAAATAATTGGCCAACGCACGGGCTACCTGTGCAAAGATGCGTTTTTTGCATAGTTTCCCGCAATTTTTGTCGCTACCGGCATCGGTTTCTTCGGCAAGTGCTTCTAGCTGAACAAATTAAGACTGGTAGCCAGAACTGGCAGAAAACAGCCCCTTAAAATTCCAGCTTTCTAGCTTTCCTGGCTCCTGAGTTATCACCTATTTGGACGGGGAACACCCCCCTAAGTTTTCAGCGTCCTAGCTTCTCAGATCCCCGAGTTATGAACTTACTCCAAAAAAATTTTTGGCAGGCCCGTACGCGGGTACCATGCAGGTGATGACGCCCATTTTGGGGATTAGGGCCGGGAGTGCATGTAGATTAAGTTCTCGAAATTTCAGCCCTGCAGCTTTTATAGGTCTTGAGGTGAAAGTGCGCGACAGACGCACGCACAGAAACACAGACGCACAGACAACCCCTCGACAATATGCGCTTTTGCATTGCATAGCTGCAAAAAAAGCATAAAAAGAGGAAAAATCATTTTAGCAGTACAAGTAAAGGGGGTCTTGCCTCTCTGCACGCTATTTGCCTAATTTTCTTCCCTGGTACTTAGACAATGTTTTACAAAATTAACACCTATCAAGAAAAGAATTCGTGCAGAATTCCTTACCAGACGACATACGTGTACTCGAATTATTTGCTGCTCTGGAATCGTTTTGGCGCAGTGGTTCACCTCGACGACCTCTTCTTTTCTGACACCACGGTCGGGCCTCCTCATTAAATCTGCAAATGTCACGCTTATTTTGACACTTTTGATTAATTCACACCATTGTTACAAAAAAAAAACACAAGGTGCTAACAACAAAGAAACGAAACAGCCGGCTTAAATCCCTTCGCCTTGCCAAGCTGCTCTTCGATTCCATGTGATATGCAAATATCCCCTAACTCGAGTCCCCTCCGTGATATGTAATGTTGTGATTAGAAATGAAGTGGGAATTGTTTTTCGGTGCAAAATAATTGCGTGGCGGTAGTTTGGAGCTGTCTGCCGCTCCGCTTCCTTGTCCCTCCCTATCGTATAGTGACAGTTTCGAGATGCTGCCAAATTTTCTGCGGTTTGATTTTTTTCTGTTTTTTTTTTTAAAATAAAGCTTTGTTTACTGGTTTGGCCGAGTGTCCCCGCAACCCCACAACAACATCCCCTGTAACCGTACAGGCCTCGAGCCATCCTTTGCGCGTTACCCATCAGTGATGCCTATTTCATTCTGCTTTTTTCCGAGCTCGCCGCCTCTAGGGTATAAGAATGCTCCGCATATACAAACTTCATAGTAAATATGGCTTTTAAGCTCGTACTTGGGGGTTCCTTTTGCAACGTCAGCGAGTACCACATAACGTCAAGCTGGTCTTTTTTCGTTCGTGACAGAAAAGCGCTTGAAAAAAAAACAAAAAAAAAAACATGCCGAAGAACGAGATCAATTGCATCGCCGATCCTTTCGAGCGGTGGCTCCACAAAGAGCACTTCTTCAATCGGTTCGGTCTTCTCATCCGGTATAGAGAGCATTGCTAAAAATTCCTCATCAATTTACAACAGTCAAAAGCCAACAAAATACAAGCGGTGAATTTCGATACGTTTCACGCAAAATCTGCATAAAAAACAAAGGATTACCTTTCAACTCCAGCAAAGCTTCCACTGGTATCGAGCCAGCGCCTTCCATGCGCGATTGCTTCATCTGTCGCGCAATCATCTCCTCTTCCGATGGAATTATCACCACACATTTACGCTACAAAATTACCAAAAATTCTCTAGCACTTCTTAAAATTCTACAAAAACATCAAGCTTTTTTTTGTGATATTAATGAAGGTATGGAAAAACAACGCGAACATTAAAGAGATCTCTTTACGCTTAATTTAAACCAGCTTTTCAGCAAAAAAGAGTAGACCAAACAAG